ACAGACAATATGCATGTGCTGTCCGAATCTTCGCTCAAGGGGCTGAGTTATGTCACTGCGGAGGAGAAGGCTTATGGGGCCCACGGGCAAGGGAAGGTCAGCCACCCCATGGACCCCACCCTGCTGAGGAAGATCCATGCAGCTACCAGTGCTGAGCCTGGGTTTGGAATTACACGGGACAGCAGTCACAGAATGCCCAAGATAAAAGAAACCACAGGTAAACTTAAACAGGACGGTGAACCTCTAATCTGTAACCTGGTAAGATCAACATTTAAGACAGTTCATCAAAACAGGCAAATCTAAGGTTGAGAATTTGTTTGAAATCCTCAGGTTACACAAATTACCAAAATAGCAAACAAAACTTTGCCTGACTTACTTTCAAGGCAGATGCCTATAGATAGATTTTGCTTTTTTGTCAGTGATATCTTTTTCTACCCCTCATCTGTATAACCAGAAGGGAATAATACACACAGCACTAAAAGATTGCAATATATACATTTAACAAGAAGCAGTCTTACCAGTGTCTGACAATACAGGACTTCTGGGTCACTGCAAGTTTTTAATAACTTTCCCCAAACATATTTGAGAAAATAGTTCGCCTTTTACTGTGATGACACTCTTTGACTCTGCATATCCGCTCAACTGTGATGACAGTCTGCTTCATGTGCTGCAGTCATTGCTGAAATTATGGAGTCAGAACAAACTTGGGTGACTTGACACCAAATTTCTGTGGGCATCTTTTTCGGCAGTATTCACGTCAGTCCACTGGACAACACACATGCTGACATTGATGTAATTGTGATATTGCATAACAGCCCAAGATATCAGTCAGGATGATCTATTAAAAACTAAACTGGATAGTCCACAGGCCTTTAAAGGCTTTCCATGGAAATACATATGAGATTTTACAGTATTTTTTAATACAAACACTGATATCTGTGAACTGCTTGGTGTTATATGCACTTGCTGATTTTAATTTTCCTTTTAGACATTTATTATGGCTATGAGAACAACACACATAATCTATTTTGCCTGTACTTTGGCCTGCAACATATAAAGATGTCTCAAAATTTAGGAAATTTGAAAATCAGATCAATAAGCATAGCTACATACAAGCAGAGGTTAAAGGATAAATATGTTGTTGTTTTTATGTGTTTGAAATTACTTGCCAATATACATTGCACTTTTTTCTTAAATGAACCACTTGACATATTGGGTATTAATCTCATTTGCTTTCCGCTTGCAGTAACATTACAACTGATACTACTCTTATATCTGTTGCTTCACATCGCTTTGTTGGCTTAGCTTACCGTAAAGATCGGAGACAAGGAGAAAGTATGAATACATCTATAAGTTATTGTCCTAAATGTTACCTCTTGACTTTCTGCACTTTGTACAGCTTCATCAAACAAGAAACAAAGTATTAATGTAAGCTAAGTTTTTCATGATTGCTCATAAGTACATTTTGTTGCCTTTGGACTGAGCTTGGTGAGCCAATTTCCTTGTCTCCAAAGTCTTTCGCAATGCTAAGCTAACTAGCTGTTATGATATTCTCATATGGACTAGATTGATAATATGTCTCTATAACATTTTCCATCAGTTACACCAGGATTAAGAGATTCCTTCTTAATTGTGCACTATATGTATTTTCTATCACTGGAACCAATAATACAGTGAGACTGAAGAACATTGTGTTAATGTTAAGGTAGATGCTTAACAGTTCTCTTTGTTTTCCTACTACCCCTAGTGTAGCTTGCACACAGCTGAAGAAGGCTGGGAAAGAGTCATCTTTAGCTCTCTGTAATGAGACCAGTACCACCACCACAATCATGTCACCTTCATCATTACAAAGTAGCACAGAGCCCAAAGGGCCAACACAGGCCAGCCCTGAGCCTGACCCACACACCCTGGCTTTTCCCTCAAGTGGATCTTCATGTGACCCAACAACAGGCAGCCTCCGGAAGCTGCGCAGGGTTCGGATGCTCAGGAGGAGCTGGAGTACCTTAATGCCAGGTTCCAGGAGCTTAGAAGTACTGTTTGAAAAGACCAAAGCCATACTTACAGGGAAGAATGATGGTCAGAATTTGCAGTTTCAAGATCCCCTAAAAGAGCAGATGACATTTTCTGCCAAAACCTTATCCACAAGCTTGTCCCAAGGTTCGGTTGCCTGTAATTCAACTGGTGAACAGCTGCTAAGAGGAGCCTCTCTGTTGATGCCCGAGCAAACAGCACCGAGGCTGGATACAGGTGCATGGAAGTGCCGTGGGCCGTTCAGTCACTGCTTCCTCAGGAGAAAGTCGAACACTCATGCCGGTGATGAAGATGGAGAGATAACCTCACATGATCTGCACTTTGACAGCTCAGTTTCTTTCTATGGCAAGGAAAACACTATCTTGAGAAACTACAAAGCTGAATGGAGCAAAATGGCCTCATATATGAAGAACATGAGCCTCAAAGATCGGCTTGCTCACATTAACTCAATGAAAGGAAAAACCTACAGCCTTCACACGGGGTTCGCACTTGCACGGAAGGATGCCTTAGAGATGATTGGTGTGTTGCGTTCAAGTGTAGGCCACCCTTCCAGAATTGCCATGCCTGAGGTCAGCGAGGCTGACATCGAAACGTTCGCCCAGCTGCTTCTCATGCAGGCCAAAGTGCTGAGCAGCGCCTGCAGTCAGATGGCGATGGAATACAGTAGCCCAGAAGAGCTGCTGCTCACGCTGACGCACAGCTTCCACACTCTGTGCTGCCTAACGCAAGCCTGCATGTCACTAGTAGAAGGCCTGAGCACCGACAGTGAACGGCGCGAGGTGGTAGCCAAGGTGGATGAGGTCGTCATGAACTACGTGTGTCTTCTGAAAGCCGCTGAGGCAGCTTCAGGAGGCTCCCCCGGTGACCAAAGTGTGAATGCATTGTCACATTATTCTGCCACCATGTCTGCTATTCTAAACACACTAACTCACTCACTGAACACACTGGTAAACAAAAAAACTGTTATTTTGTCTTGATTATTGATTTCAAAGCCATACATAAGAGACATGGGTTTAACAACCAATGTGAACTGCTGTGAAAAAAATTTTAAAAAACTTGCCTTGTGTATACAGTATTTTATTATGTAAAGAAAATATATGATTATATGAATAATTAAAGTTTTAAATAGATTATATTAAGGCCTATATTAAAAAGCATATGACTCTCTTTTCAAATATATTATCTAATATTACTTCATAGGGATTATTTTGAGGATTTATTGGTTTTATTGACAGATTAACATGTAGACTGACACAAACTTATTAGTATCTTGTTTATAACTTGTAAAAAAGTACACAGCTGAAGAAATGCATACACTATATAAAGCTCTAAACAAATCGCTGCACAGGACAAGAGATGATAAAGCTGAAGTAACGCGTACAATATTTTCATTTGCTTGAGTCACTTAATTTAATGAATACTTTACACATAAATACTGAGTACTTTCCTGTTATTTTTGTCAATGTCATTAAAGAAATTAAAACTTTTTAAAAAGTATGAACTGTTTTGTTGTCTGTTTCTGTTTCACCCTGCTCGCTCACAGTTTTGGTCATTACCAATCTCTCGGCTACAAAAGTTTGTTACTGAAGTTTCATTCAATAAAGCGTCTTTATTTAGTTTGGAAACTGTGTTCAATAATTCATTTTTTTCTACTTTTCGCTCAAGCTTTAGTGGTGAAAGTGCTTTTTGCATTAAAGATGATGATGGCCTATTTCACTTACAGTACAGGGCTGGAAAGAATGTTTTTGCACAGCTTGAGAACGAGTGTAGTCACTGTGCATTATTGTATGCATCTGAGTCAAATGAAAAAGACAACAGCCAACAGCTCAGTGAGGCTATAAGCATAAAGGTGCTTAAATGCCACCATAGTGAACTCCTGGTCAAAATTGACCTGATGATGCTCACTGATCGCTTCAATTTAGGATGACATGCATGTTTATACTTGTTTTATGGCAAACAACCATCTGAACTTAAATTGCCAACCTAGTAAGCAATGAATTGAAAAAACATTAAACCAATCCATCTGTCCATCCATTGCTCAAACCATGTTCTAAACCACTTATCCAGCTCAGAGTGTTTACGCCAAACCATTTGAAATATATATATATATATTGAGATATTTCACAGGATACATGGAAATTTTAAAATGTTAGTTGTGCTTAAGGAAAATACAGATAATGATTGAAGTTGATCTCTGCTTCAAATGTTTAAAGCACTTCATCTGTAGTTCTCAAGACATTTTTCTATAAACCCAAATTTAACAAGAGGTATGCTGACCAACAGGAATACCCAGTATTGCTAGAATAGGTGTAGTAAATCACACCATTTCACTGTAAAGACAGACAGCTAAACAGGCTAGCTACTGTAAATCGGTAGGAACTGTACCTAAAACCACTGAACATTTTTATTTATCTTAAATTTGGGCAGGTGAGACTGAATGTTAGTCATATAGTCACAGATAACAAAAAAATATATATTCTGCTTGATGTTAAAATAACTTCACCACCATGTACAGTGGTAAAGCCCAAACCACACCACAGGTTTCATTTTCCCCTAAAATTTAATGAGAAATGAAACTCTTCCTTTCACTGGTTTCAGTTGAATAATAACTTGTAACTCATCCAGCTGTGTTTTATAATACCATGGAATATCTGCCATACAACAAGAGTCAGAGTATTAAACTTGCTGTATCTTATTAAAGGCACCTCTTTACAGTAATAATAGCATAAATGCACCAATAAGCCTTTTCACGATGTAGTAAAAGATGAAATATTTGGATGTTTGTGGTTTGTAAGAAAGTAGGAAGTGATGCCGGCTAATTCTACACACACTAGGCTAACACAGACACCTGTTACTTTCATCGACCACCTCAGGAATGTTTGTCAGTGTTATACTTCTTTCAGTACTCCATCGAACCTGACAAGACAAGTCAGAGCTGGACTCTTTTTTTTTGTTTTCTCACATAAATAATGTTTCTCCACCTGGTGAGTATGATTTTTATATATAATATAGTATCAGAATTCATAAGCTGTCAAATGTAGTTTGGCTTAGAAGTGCTGTTAACTGTTGAGAAGTAGAAAATCAAATGTGAGAGAATGCTATTTCCTAATTGTACAGTAAAGTAAAGTATAATATGCTGGCCATGCTTACTAACGTTGCTGATTTTAGCGTCCCTTGTTATGATTTGCATTTATAATGTGCTGTTACAGTATTATTAGATTTCCACTAGCAAACCTTTCTCATGTTTCCGTGCAGATGTGTGTGGCACTGCTCACCCTGTGGTCTTGTCTCCCTATTTTGGCAACTGGCATCTATTACCCGAAAACTCTGCCATGTGATGTTAACGAGATTAACAATGGGAGTGAAGTGAAGGTCGACTGCACTGAGAGAAGCCTCAAAAAAATCCCCCATGGAATCCCGAGAGACACTACAAACCTGACGCTCACCATCAACCATATTCCGAGTCTAAACTCCACCTCCTTTTACGGTTTGGAGAACTTGACTGAGATTGACATGAGGTGCAACTGTGTGCCCATCAAAATCGGACCCAAGGACAAGATGTGCCTGAAGAGTGTGACAATTGAGGAAAATACTTTCAGCAGACTGAGCAATCTGCGAGCGCTGTACCTAGATGGCAATCAGCTCTACAGTATACCTAAAGGCCTGCCTTCAAATCTGATCCTTCTGAGCTTGGAAGTGAATCATATTTATTATCTTTCTAAAGCAAACCTCTCTGAGCTTAGAAATGTTGAGGTGCTTTACCTTGGTCAAAACTGCTATTTTCGTAACCCCTGCAATGATTCCTATGGTATAGAAGACGATGCATTTTTACAGTTTAACAATTTAAAATTGCTATCTCTTAAATCAAATAACTTGTCTTTCATTCCACATCAGCTACCCACTACTCTGAAGGAGCTGTATCTCTATAACAATAACATTCAAGAAGTCACTGATGAAGACTTTAAAAATTTAACTAATCTTGAGATTCTAGACATTAGCGGAAACTGCCCCCGGTGTTACAATGCTCCTTTTCCATGTAGTCCATGTCCAAATAACGCGCCATTGAAAATCAGCAAGACAGCTTTTAAAATGCTGACCAAACTAAAAACATTACGGCTGCATAGCAACTCCCTTACAAGTGTGCCTTCTGAATGGTTTGACACCACAACTGAGCTCAGAGTGCTGGACCTCTCATCAAACTTTTTAGCAAGGGAGCTAGAAATCACTGTTTTCCCAGAATTCTTGGGTAAACTAGAAGAACTGGACCTTTCATTCAACTACGAGCTTCAGAAGTACCCTCAAACGCTGAGACTGAGTTGCAGTTTCTCCTTTCTGAAGTCTCTCAAGATTTTCAGAATGAAAGGTTTTGTGTTTCAGCAGTTAACTACAGAGAGTATTTCTCATTTAAAACCTCTACCGAACCTGGAGGTTGTAGATTTGGGTACAAACTTCATTAAAATGACAAAGCTTAGTATTCTGATGGATTTGAAAAGCTTTAAAATAATCAGCCTGTCTGACAACAAAATATCATCTCCCTCTGATGGCCGAGATGCACTTGGTTTGTCCGGAGGAGAAACCTCGGACTGGTCTCCGATGTCTTCCACTGCTGAGTACCAAAACAAAGAAGTGAGAGAGATTCATTATTTCAGATATGATGAGTATGCACGAAGCTGCAAATACAAGGACAAGGAACTTGGAGTTATTACATCCTTCGTCAAAAAAGAATGCAGTCAGTTTGGCAAAACCCTGGACGTCAGCAGAAACAATATATTCTTCCTGCATTCACGATTTTTAAACCTTACAGAGCTAAGATGCCTCAATCTGTCTGGAAATGCAATGAGTCAAAGTCTGAATGGTTCTGAATTTACTTACCTGGCTAATTTACAATATCTGGACTTCTCATGGAACCGTTTGGACCTGCTCTACTCTACCGCGTTCCAAGAGCTGAAAAATCTGGTCATCTTGGATATAAGTAACAACAACCACTATTTTGAATCAGAAGGTCTGACTCACATGCTTAATTTCACTAGGAATTTAAAAAACCTCAAGGTACTCCTGATGAATCACAACAAGATCTCTACTTCCACTAACACAGAGCTGGAGAGTCAATCCCTAGAAAGGTTAGAGTTCAGAGATAACCGGTTAGATGTACTGTGGCGAGATGGGAACACCAGATATCTCAACTATTTTAAGAATTTAGTTAATCTGACTGTCCTTGACATCTCCCATAACAACCTCCCCTTTATCCCATCGGACGTATTCAGTGGTCTACCAGAGAAGCTATCTGAGCTGTATATCAAAAACAACAAACTAAAATCCTTTAACTGGAAGAAACTGCAAATTCTACACTCATTGCAAGTCTTGGATCTCAGTGGAAACAGCTTGACTACTGTTCCAGATGTGTTATCAAACTGCACCACATCTCTTGAGAAACTAATTTTATACAAAAACCAAATCCTAAAGCTTACACCAGATTTCCTCAAGGGTGCCTACCACTTAAAATATCTTGACCTGAGTTCTAATCACATCCAGTACATTGAAAAATCCAGCCTTCCAGATGATGTTCTTAATCATATGGACATGTTACTTCTGCACAAAAACAGATTCTTGTGCACTTGCAATGCCACCTGGTTTGTCACATGGCTCAACAGGACTACAGTAACCATACCTAGATTGGGCACGGATGTTACCTGCGTTGCCCCAGGGGCACAAAGAGGTCGTCCAGTCATCTCAGTGGACCTTTTGGCCTGCCAGCACCACTACCTGTCAATCATCCTCTCCACCCTAATGACTTCCCTCGTCCTCATCTTGGTCACGCTGTCCATCTCCAGCCATCTCTTCCTGTGGGATGTCTGGTACATCTACCATTTCTGCAGGGCCAAGCTCAAAGGCTACCGCCGCCTGTATTCCCACAGCGCTGTTTACGATGCCTTTGTGATCTATGATAAGGAGGATCCTGCAGTATCAGAGTGGGTGACGAAGGAAATGTGCGCTCATCTTGAGGAGTGTGGAGACCGTCGACTGACGCTTTGTCTTGAGGACCGGGATTGGATGCCCGGATGCCCCCTGATTGACAACCTCTCTCAAAGCATCCACAGGAGCAAGAGGACTGTGTTTATTCTCACCAAAAAATACATCAAAGGGGGAAACTTCAAGACGGCGTTCTACATGGCTCACCAAAGGCTAATGGATGAAAAAAATGATGTTATAGTGCTTATTTTCTTAGAAAAAGTGCCTTGCAATTCAAAGTACTTGAGATTACGAAAGAGGCTGTATAAGAGGTCTGTGCTAGAGTGGCCAACAAATCCTCAAGCCCAGCCATACTTTTGGTTCAGCCTGAGGAGTGTATTAGCAACCGAAGGTCACAAACAATACAACAATCTCTTCAAAGAGACACTGTAAAGAGAACAACATGCTGGAAAATGCAGTTTCTTCTCTCTAGATTGCTTTAAATGTACTCCTGTATATGAATTATTATATGTGAATACTGAACTGTTGTAATGTGAGCAGTTTTATTATTAATGAAATATTAATAATTAATGATGTGCTAATTTTAAACTCTGTATTCAAATTATTTGGGAAATTCATTGGCACTCTTTGCGATGCCAGTGGGGGATTCTCAGACTCAGTTGGCAATGAAATGCAACATACCATGAAAGAAGGAAATGAAACAGATGTATTTGTTCAATTCACACGCTGCTCCCTCCCACAGCTCATTCTGCTGTGTACAACAGTCCCCTTCCTTATTTTGATGGGTGTATGTGAGCATGCAGAGATGTTTAAACGGCTAATTTGACTTGATGATATACAAGACATGCACCTTATAGATTTTTAGCAACTTGTTGGGGTTTTTTTGTTTGTTTTTTGTTTTTTGTCTTTTAACCACTACCACTTATTTTTAAATGGTAGAGGAGAAAATCTGAATTCATTCAGGGATTAATACAGTACAGGCACAATGGTAAGTGACTGAGTGTGTGTATAGTTACTTTTAACTTACTTATCAGAATAATAAGATTTTCTGCATTCTGATGTGATCTTTGAAGATTTTGTCATTTTATGATTTTGTGCCAAAACTTTGTATAGATATATCTGACTCCAAAAACCCAGACTGATCATTTTATTGTGTTTTGCTTTGAAATCTGTTTTGCTTGTTTGGAAATGTGTTGACATATTCAATTAAAAGGTATAATAAAACTTGCCAGCCGTTGAGTAGAAAAACATCATGGCATCATATTCTTCATTATCGGCATTTTATTTAACTTGTTTTAGAAATCAGCACTTGGCGATCTTGAGAACACAAGCTATGAAGCCACATTTTATCTTAAACTGTCAAAGATACATTTAGCAGTCAAGACTTTCATTTCGGTAGCACTTTATAATAATGTCACACTATTAAGCATTATTACGGTGCTAGTAAAGTATTAGCAAGTGCTTAATTCATCATTTATACATCATTGCTCTTCCTTAGTATGCCGATGCAGATATGTTTATCCATCTGTTACTGTTACGCCATGTACAGCTATCACTGCTGGACATGGTGAAATCATGTACAGCTATAATTGCTACATAGCTGCTAATAGTAATCATAATCAAAGTAGTGATAATATACCTGTATTTATAAATGGCATAACAGGAGAACGGATGCTATATAAATGATGAATTAACCACTTGGTAAAACCTTAGTTGTACCTTAATAATGCTTAATAATGTGACATTATTTTAAAGTGATGCCCCTTTTTTTTAGGTATTTCAATTCAATAAATTGCACAGCTATAATGAAGACATGGGACAAATGTATTTAGAAAATTTATTTTGTATGTCACTTATCTCTAAGTATGTGACGTGCTCCCATGAAAAGTACTTTAACCACAACCTGAAAGATTTATCTCCTATTTTTAAAATTATTTCTAGGCTGGTTATTGTAATATTACATACTAATAATGATACATTTTACATGTATCGTTTTACATTTCATACCCCTTACTTCTTGCTGTTTTGATAAGTATAAGAAAGAACAAGATTTTTTTTTTCTTACTAGACTTCCAACCTACTGCCACCTGCTGCAAACAGGACAGGTTTACAATTTTTTCAAGATTGCTTTACAATATCAGTGTCTTTTCCCTAGCTGATATTGTAACATGTCAAAACAGGAAAAGCAGTGGTGTAATAAATAACTGTAATAACATTAATAAGGGCTCTATTTGGTTTAGGTATATACAGTTTAAGTCAGTAGACAAAAAAGTTTCACAAAAAGTTTGGAAACCAGTAATGCACAGAAAAAATTCCATAGATTTTTATCCATTAATATGTCGCATAAGGAGTGAATAGAGTGAAGTCGAGGAGAAGTGCTCACTGCATCACAGGAAGGCCCACAGATGTCCGAGCCTGGTAGGGATGAGGGAATGAATTCGGGTCAACCTTTAAAAACTGTCAGTAGATATATTAACAATGTAATATTAATACACTTTGCTTTTTGGGAAGTCTCGTAATCCATTACATGAAAATGAGTTATGAAGTCGCATATTTATTGCAAATTTTTAAAATTTTAATTTATCAATCTGAGACTTTTAGTCACATCTAAAATATAAGCTTTAAGGCAATTCTAAAAGCAAACCTAATCTGCAGACCAATATCACTGTACATTGTGAACCACTAATTGACATGATAAAAGTGTTATAGTAATATAATATATAACATTATATATAGTACAAATAGTGTTCTTTGTCTTATATACATATCTATTTTTTTACCACAATAATCATGAAAAAGTGTTATAATTTTGTAGAAGCCCTTTTATAAGCTTAAGGTTCTTTCATTCAACTGATTCCATCATATTTCCACAGATTACCAAATGCTGGATGCTGTTGTTCTATCTGTGTTACCATTATGAGATCATGCCAGCTGCATTTACACCTACCTGGATGACTCGGCAGTTCCCTTGTGATGTCATATCCAACAAAACATCAAATACAGTCAAATTTGACTGTAAAGGCCGCCATCTAGAGGAAGTACCAGAAGGGATAACCAGTAATGCCACGGATCTCGACTTATCAGAAAATTTTATTAAGAGTATTAAAGATGAATCATTTTCTAAACTGACAAATCTGACTCAGCTCAATCTCAACTGGGCAAACAAATCCAAGGACGGTTATGGATGCAGACTATTGAACATTTCTGCAAGGGCTTTCAAAAATCTCACAAAAATCAAGCAACTACAACTGAGCGGCAACTGTCTGACTGAAATTCCACGCAATCTCCCCCACAGTGTGGAAACACTTGAGCTAGAAATTAACAAGATTAGTTTGGATAAATTACATGACAACAGTTTTATTGGTTTAAAAAAATTAACAAACCTGTTTCTATCTAAAAATTGCTACTTCTGGAATCCCTGTGGGAAGTCTGTTGCTATTATGGAAAAACCCTTTCAAATACTGGACAAACTGAATGCTCTGAACTTGTCTTTCAACAACTTAACACACGTTCCTAAAGGACTACCCCAGTCAATTACAATTTTAGATCTGGATTCCAACAAAATAGAGTACATAACTAAAGATGATTTCCAAGGATTGCCAAATTTAAAAGTCCTTGATATACAAGGCAACTGTCCAAGATGTCACAATGCTCCGTACCCTTGTGTTCCTTGCCCTAACGGTTCTATTGCCATACATTCTGATGCATTTCAAAGACTGACACAGCTGGAGATACTGAACCTGGGAGGAAACTCACTAAATTACCTTAAGCCCTCTTGGTTTCAAAGTCTAACAAATCTTAAAGTATTATATCTGGCATTTAATTTTTTACTAAAATCTATAACTGGTGAGGAACCATCTTTTGAGGCATTTAGTTATCTTCACAGGCTAGAAAAACTTGACCTGTCGTTCAATTATGCTGTCGGATTGTACCCAGAAAAAATAACACTTTCACAAAACTTTTCAAACCTCAGGTCACTGAAAACTTTGCATTTGGAGGCTTTGGTATTCCAGAGAATTGGACCAGACACACTCACACCTCTGTACAATCTGAAAAATCTATCTGCTTTGAATTTAGGCACTAATTTCATTATTTACAGCAACTCTACTTTATTCAGCCATTTCTCCCACGTAAAAATGATATATCTCTCAGAAAACAGGTTATATCCCACCACAATAGAAAGTCCACCAACTCTAACGGACAGATACAACCAGAATTCAGACCTTTCTATTTCACCGTCCATAACAACTCCTCC